TTTTTTTTTTGACACAGAGTTTCTCTCTTGTTACCCAGGCTGGAGTGCAATGGCACAATCTCGGCTCACTGCAACCTCCGCCTCCTGGTTTCAGGCAATTCTCCTGCCTCAGCCTCCTGAGTAACTGGGATTACAGGCATGCACCACCATGCCCAGCTAGTTTTTGTATTTTTAGTAGAGACGGGGTTTCGCCATGTTGACCAGGATGGTCTCGATCTCTTGACCTCGTGATCTTCCCGCCTCGGCCTCCCATCCTCCTTTCTTATTTGAATAAGCTTTTTTTTTTCTTGCCTGCTTGCCCTAGTCAGAACTTCAAATGTATGTGGAACAAGAGTGGTGAGAGAAGGCATCTTTGTCTTGTGCTGGTTTTCACACAGAATGCTTCCAGTTTTTGCCCATTCAGTATGATACTGGCTGTGGGTTTGTCATAAATTGCTCTTACTATTTTGAGATATGTTTCATCAATACCTAGTTTATTGAGAGTTTTTAGCATAAAGAGCTGTTGAATTTTGTTGAAGGCCTTCTCTGCATCTACTGAGATAATCATGTGGGTTTTGTCTTTGATACTGTTAATGTGATGGACTACATTGATTGATTTGCTTATGTTGAACCAACCTTGCATCCCAAGGATGAAGCTGACTTGATCATGATGTATAAGCTTTTTTATGTGCTGTTGGATTCAGTTTGCTAGTATTTTATTGAGGATTTTCACATCAATGTTCATCAGATATATTGGCTTGAAATTTTCTAATTGTGTCTCTACCAGGTTTTTTTAATCAGGATGATGTTGGTCTCATAAAATGAATTGTAGAAGATTTCTATTGTCTGGAATAGTTGCAGAAGGAATGGTACCAGCTCCCATTTGTACCTCTGGTAGAATTCGGCTATGAAACAGTCTGGTCCTAGACTTTTTTTGGTTGATAGGCTATTAATTACTGCCTCAATTTCAGAACCTGTTATTGGTCTACTCAGGGAATCGACTTCTTTCTGGTTTAGTCTTGAGATGGTGTAAGTGTCCAGGAATTTATCCATTTATTCTGGATTCTCTGGTTTATTTGCATAGAGGTATTTTTAGTATTCTCTGATGGTAGTTTGTATTTCTATGGAATTGGTGGTGAAATGGCCTATATCATTTTGTTTGCATCTATTTGATTCTTCTCTCTTTTCTTCTCTATTAATCTGGCTAATGTTCTATCTATTTTGTTGATCTTTTCAAAAAACCAGTTCTTGGATTCATTGAATTTTTTGAAAGGTTTTTTATGTCTCTATCTCCTTCAGTTCTGCTCTGATCGTAGTTATTTCTTGTCTTCTGCTAGCTTTTAAATTTGTTTGATCTTGCTCCTCTAGTTCTTTTCTTCATGACATCAGGGTGTCGATTTTACATCTTTCCTCACTTCTCTTGTGGGCATTTAGTGCTATAAATTTTCCTCTAGACACTGCTTTAAATGTGTCCCTGAGATTTTGGTACATTGTGTCTCCATTCTCATTGGTTTCCAAGAGTATCTTTATTTCTTCCTTCATTTCATTATTTATCAAGTAATCCTTTAGGAGCAGGTTGTTCAGTTTCCATGTAGATGTGTGGTTTTGAGTGAGTTTCTTAATCCTGACTTCTAATTTGATTGCACTATGATCTGAGAGACTGGTTGTTATGATTTCCATTTTTTTGCATTTGCTGAGGAGTGTTTTACTTTCAATTATGTGGTCAATTTTACAATAAGTGTGATGTGGTGCTGAGAAGAATGTATATTCTATTGATTTGGAGTGAAAAGTTCTGTAGATGTCTGTTAGATCTGCTTGGTCTAGAGCTGAGTTTAAGTCCTGAATATCCTTGTTAATTTTCTGCCTCGTTGATCTGTCTGATATTGACAGGGGGTGTTAAAGTATCCCACTATTATTGTGTGGAAGTATAAGTCTCCTTGTAGTTCTCTAAGAACCTGCTTTATGAATCTGGGTGCTCCTGCATTGGGGGCATATATAATTAGGACAGTTAGCTCATCTTGTTGCACTGATACCTTTATCATTATGTAATGTCCTTCACCTCTTTTGATCTTTGTTGGTTTAAAGTCTGTTTTATCAAAAGTAGGATTGCAACACCTGCTTTTTTTTTTTTTTTTTTTTTTTTTGCTTTCCATTTGCTTGGTAAATATTCCTCCGTCCCTTTATTTTGAGCCTATGTGTGTCTCTTTGCATGTGATAAGAATCTCCTGAATACAGCACACCAATAGGTCTTGACTCTTTATCCAATTTACCAGTCTGTGTCTTTTAATTGGGGCATTTAGCCCATTTACATATAAGGCTAATATTGTTATGTGTGAATTTGATCCTGCCATTATGATGTTAGCTGGTTATTTTGCACAGTAGTTGATGCAGTTTCTTCATAGTGTCAATGGTCTTTACAATTTGGTATGTTTTTGCAGTGGCTGGTACTGGTTGTTCCTTTCCATCTTTAGTGCTTCCTTAAGGAGCACTTGTTAGGCAGGCCTGGTGGTGACAAAATCTCTTGGCAGTTGCTTGTCCATAAAGGATTTTATTTCTCCTTCATTTATGAAGCTTAGTTTGGCTGGATATGAAATTCTGTGTTGAAAATTCTTTTCTTTAAGAACGTTGAATATTGGCCCCCACTCTCTTCTGGCTTGTAGGGTAGAATCTTCTGGCAGAGAGGATCTTCTGTAGGATCTTCTGGCAGAGAGGTCCACTGTTAGTCTGATGGGCTTCCCTTTGTGGGTAACCTGACCATTCTCTCTGGCTGCCCTTAGCATTTTTAACTTCATTTTAACCTTGGTAAATCTGACAATTATGTGTCTTGGGGTTGCTCTTCTTGAGGAGTATCTCTGTGGTGTTCTCTGTATTTCCTGAATTTGAATGTTAGCCTCCATGCTAGGTTGGGGAAGTTCTCCTGAATAGTATCCTGAAGAGTGTTTTCCAACTTGGTTTCATTCTCCCCATCACTTTCAGGTACACTGATCAAGTGTAGATTTGGTCTTTTCATGTAATCCCCTATTTCTTGGAGGCTTGGTTCATTTCTTTTCACTCTTGTTTCTCTATCTTGTCTTCTCATTTTATTTCATTGAGTTAATCTTCAATGTCTAATATTCTTTCTTCCGTTTGATCAAGTTGACTATTGAAACTTATGTAGGCTTCACAAAGTTCTCATGCTGTATTTTTCAGCTTCATCAGGTCATTTATGTTCTTCTCTAAACTGGTTATTCTAGTTAGCATTTTGTCTACCCTTTTTCAAGGTTTTTAGCTTCCTTGCATTGGGTTAGAACATGCTTCTTTAGGTTGAAGAAGTTTATTATTACCCATCTTCTGAAGCCTATTTCTGTCAATACATCAAACTCATTCTTCATCCAGTTTTGTTCCCTTACTGGTGAGGAGTTGTGATGCTTTGGAAGAGAGGCATTCTGCTTTTTAGAGTGTTTAGCCTTTTTGTGCTGGTTTCTTCCCATCTTCATGCTTTTATCTACCTTTGGTCTTTGAGGTTGGTGATCTTTAGATGGGATCTGAGTGGACAACCTTTTTGTTGATGTTAAAACTATTTCTTTCTGTTTGTTAGTTTTCCTTCTAACAGTCCATCCCCTCTGTTGCAGATCTTCTGGAGTTTGCTGGAGGTCCACTCCACATCCTGCTTGCCTGAGAATCACCAGCAAATGTTACAGAACAGTAACAATTTCTGCCTGCTCCTTCCTCTGGTAGCCTCATCCCAGAGGGGTACCCACCAGATGCCAGCCAGAGCTCTCCTGTATGAGGTGTCCGTCAGCCCCTACTGGGATGTATCTCCCAGTTAGGATACATGGACATCGAGGAGGCAGGCTGTTCCTTATCACAGTTCAAATGCTGTGCTGGGAGATCTGCTGCTCTCTTCAGAGCTGCCAGGCAGGGACATTTAGGTCTGCTGAAGCTGTACCCACAACCACCTATTTTCCTAGGTTCTCTGTCCCAGGAAGGTGGGGGCTTTATTTATAAGTCCCTGATGGGCTGCTGCCTTTTTGCAGAGATGCCCTGCCCAGGGGTGACATCTAGGAGACAGTCTGCCTGCAGCTGCTGAACTGTGGTAGGCTCTGCCCAGTTCGAACTTCCCAGCAGCTTTGTTACACTGTGAGGTTGCAACTGCTTACTCAATCCTCAACAATGGCAGACACCCCTCCCTCTACCAAGCTCAAAAGTCCCAGGTGAAGCTCAGACTGCTGCACTGGCTGCAAGAATTTCAAGCCAGTGGATCTTAGCTTGCTGGTCTCTGTAGGGGAGGTACCCACCAAGCCAGACAACTTAGCTCCCTGGCTTCAGCCGCCTTTCCAAGGGAGTGAAGGATTCTGTCTCACTGGTATTCCTGGTGCCACTGGGGTATGAAAAAAACTGCTGCAGCTAGCTTGGTTTCTGCCCAAACTGCCTTTAGTTTTGTGCTGGAAACTTAGAGCCCTGGTGGTTGTGTAGGTACTAGAGGGAATCTCCTGGTCTATGGTTTTGAAGACCATGGGAAAAGCAAAGTATTAGGGCCAGACTGTAGGGAACAGTCTCTAATGCCTTTGCTTGGCTAAAACAGGAAATACCCTGGCTCCTTGTGCCTCCTGGGTGAGGCAACACCCCGTCCTGTTTCAGCTTGCCTTCCTTAGGCTGCACCCACTGTCCAATAAGTCCAAATGAGATGAACCATGTACCTCAGTTGAAATATGGAAATCACCCACCTTCTGCATCAGTCTCTTTGGGAGTTGCACAGTGGAGCTGTTCCTATTTGGCCATCTTGCCCAGGGACCTGACAATTATCATTTAGTACCATTTACCACAATAACTATCCTACCTCCAAAAAGTAACAGGATAAATCTGTCCTTGTCACATCCTCTCCCATCTATTCTATTCCTTTGAAAAGAAATGACTTAATTATAAAAAAGATTTCATTACTTATGGTTTTTAATATGCTAAAGACAGCAGTTAGAGTCTGAACATTTTAAGTTAGTAAAATATTAAGAAAGAAATATTGTTTGCAAAATAAAGACATTATAGCCTTAAGTGAAAACATTTAATTATTCACTGCATTTAGGTTTAAATAAGCTCCCAATGGCCCATTTTTTGGTTTCCTTCTTGGGAAAAAAAGTCTTCTGAAAGTTCTTTGTATTAGTGGAATTTTCTGCTTAATATTTCATTTACATTTGTCCTGATTCTATTGTTTTGCTCTTCTATACCACCTATGGTGATGAAAGCCCATTCGTTTTTATTCACACTTCTATTCTGTTTTATAGGTTATTTAATACTGCATAATAAGGCAATTAGGCCACAACCCAATGCACTCTAAGTGTCATGGGAATGATTCAAAAAAGACAAAATAAACTTAATGTAACATAAAAATGACTAGGCAGCGTATTAAAAAATCAGATTCCTGATAAACACTTTAGTGCCATTAGAATCCACTGAAAATAGCCCAGCAAACTTAATATCCTCAGTGTCTTTCACATTGTGTGATTTTACCAGACTAGTCACAAATGCATTTTAAAATATTTTTATAAGACGGAACCTCAAGTTTCCATGCATGTCCTATTAGCTGTTTGTGTTGCACAGCCACTTGAATATAGTCAATTCTGCCTATATACAAAGACAGACAATGTTTGACCAAAACACAGGAATGTCCTAGTGAATTAGAAAAATAAGAAGAAAAACTGAAGATTCCTCCCAATGCTTTTGCCTTCATGTAAGCTTGCTTCTTGTTATTCAATCAGCCAGCTGAGTAGATGCTATGTCTTTTTAGTTCTCCTCATTATTCAAGCATTCAGCATATTTTTTAAAAAGTGTGTCTCTTATGCTATAATGTCTTGATGTGTCCTCTACTAAGTTTTGGAAATTGTTTTAATAAGGACATGGTACATTATGCTAACATAACAATTTGACCCCCAAATATCAGTGGATTAACACAACAAAGCATATTTTTCTCAACCTACATATCTAAAATTGGTCAGGCCAATTTAAATCTCTGCTCCACAAAGCTACTTGGGGTTTTAGAGGTTCCACAATAATGGTGGCATCACCATAATGTGACATTGCCATTTCCCAAAAATAAAACTGGCTACTGAGTATGCTGTGTCAACAAAGGTAAAACATGAACCTTCATGCTCATTTTCACTTCTATTTATTTGTCATCAGAGTCTAGGAAATTCAGGAAGAGGAAAAGAAGTGGTGAGCAGCAAGTACTGTGTTTCCATCAGAAGTTATTTCTAGGAGGCAATACTGTGAACTAAAAAGATCTCTAAACTTTGAGGCAAGAGATCTGATTTTGGACAAGTCACTTGGCTTTTCTGAGTCTGAATATGCAAAATGAGAACTCTGTTTTTGTTGAGGTTGTTAAACATTCCATTCAATAGCTGGAAAAGTGAATTTCCTGTAGAATGATAGAAATTACATAGAAGCAAGCAATTTTATTTTCCTTAAATGTAGCATTAATTTTAATGTGTACATATATAAACAGTGTAATTTTAAAACCTTGAAGGTGACATGCATATTTTAAGGTACAGGTGAAATACAGAAGGATGTTAGCCATCTCTGATTTTCATTACCACTTTTTCTTTTCCAGTTCCTTCTGCAAAAGCACTGAGTCAGCAAACTTCACATGGAATGCTAAAGTGAAAGGTGAACTTCTAAAGTCTGTACTTCTACATATAACAAACAAAATGGAAACGACTTTCTAGAGCAGTTTGGTAGGCACTAGAGTCATATGGCTGAGCTTTCAAGCTCAAAATGAAATCAGGGATTCATTTTCTAAAAAACTAAAGGAGATCATGTTTGTAACTGTGCCCTATTTATGTTTCATAGTTGCTACCCATGTGATAACTTCCACCAGTCTTTTTATTTGGTATAGTTTCTGAATATATGCTGTTCAATGGAGTTATATGTACTTAAGGTGTGGTGAGATGCAGAAGAAAGGACTGAGAAAATCACTCTTCTGTGAAGTCTGAGTCCATGCTCCTCTTCCACTATTCTTATGGCCTTTTCTCTGCCATTGAGGCAGACACAGCTGATGCAGAATGTCAAATGCTTTCATCATTCAAAGGCCCGGGGATGCAGACCAAGGTAAGTGATGGGGGTATACCTTTGCTTCTTCAACAATACCTTTCTCAAGCTTTCCTGGCCTTGCAGCATAACTTCTAGAACTAGAAAGTCAGTTCACTGGGTCCTTGACTCAAAGGTCAGGATGAGATGGGAGGTGGCAGATTGACAAGACAAAAAGGGAAAATAGAGTACCAATTAGCCTCAGAGCAAGATAGAGAAATTTATATTTGCGCTGATGAAAATTCAAATTCCCAAAGTCAATCTAAAAATATGAAGATTGTCTTTGAGTGAAATGAGAAATTTAGACAAGATTGTGGATATCCCATGAGAAACATCAGGACATTAGAATCTTGTCCTGTCATATAAGGACTTTAGACTTTAGACTTGTCCTGTCACAGTGAACTTTGGTGAGTTTCAATGTGTTGTAAGAGTTGAATTGCAATAATAAGAAAAGAGACATAATATTAAAATAGAATTAGATATTTAATATTAAAGACCTAATATTAAAATATAATCAAATTTAAAAAAACCTTCTGAATTTTCCTTTATCCTCTAGTCACTGCTCCAGAGCATCTTTCACTAGCAAAATAACCTTGAATGTCAGGGCAAAGGTGTAATGGCTTTGCTTCACAGCCAAAATTGGAATTTCTCTGTTAAATAAGAATAATTTAGAGTTTGGACCTAATTAGAGCTCTCTGAAAATAAATAAAAAGGGTAAATAGTGTCTTCTTCTTATTTGATATGTAACATCTGATATTTGTAGTTTAATATTAGGCAGAAAGCACTATGGTGTTCAACAAAACTAGGATTCTTCCGTGTTTTGGGCTTAAAACTGAATATCATGAAATACCAAGAATGCAGAGACAAGGTGATTTTATAGAACTCTTGCAATAAAAAGGAAAAAGGGCACCATTAGACTTTTTCTTAGTTGGGTTTCTACCCCTAATTGCCATGCCTACCACCATTATGTAGATATAGGTAAAGTCTTATGTTGAAAATGATTAAAATTAAAACCAGGCATAGTGGCTCATACCTGTAATCCCAGGACTTTGGGAGGCTGAGGTAAGTGAGTCACCTGAGGTTAGAAGTTCAAGCCCAGCCTGGCCAACATGGCAAAACCCTATATCTACTAAAATAAATACAAAAATCAGCTGAGCCTGGTGGTGGATGTCTGTAATCCCAGCTACTCAGGAGGCTGAGGCAGGAGACTTGCTTGAACCAGGAGGCAGAGCTTACAGTGAGCCAAGATAGCACTACTGTATTCCATCCAGCCTGGGGGAGACAGAGTAAGACTGTCTCAAAAAAAAAAAAAAAAAAGAAAATAACTGGAATTAATAGAATGACTTAGAAAATTGTCTTAATTTAGAGATTCATCAAATATTTGAGAATACTTCTTTCTCTAAGGCATAATTAGCCTGGTCATTGCCTGACTCTCATGACACAGAAGCCTGTATCCAGAGGAATCCATTCTGTCATGCAAGTGATTTCTGTCTTAATGTAAATTACATTAAGACCATAGAGATCATGGCTATTAGAGGGAAATATAATTAATTACTACAATTACAAAGCTGTATACTATGTCTGTATTGATGGTGATTCTATAGCTCCAATCTTTCATCCAAGTAAGAATCAGAGATCACTATTAAGTTTGGCCTGAAACAAACCTAATAGTACAGTAATAAGACACTGCACATACCAAAGAATGGGATGGTTTGCCTGAATCAAGTGACAAGATTCTGCCCCTCAAGTGCTATCTGAAGAAGCTCATAGAGGCTAGTACATCAGTATTATACAGGAACCAGGATAAAAAGATCAACATGGCGGACTAGACACAGGTAGTATGTGCCTCCTCCATGGCAAGGAAAGAGAATAGTTTGTAGACATTCAAATAGATTGTTTAGAAGAGAATACATGGATTTATCAAAGAAGAGACAGGAAGCACTTGTCTTTTCAGGTGCTTCAGTTAGTAAGGAGGATATTCTGAGTAGCTCGTCCAGTGGGAAACCTACTGAGAGCCAGGAGAGGATCCTGGACAAGGGAAAACAGTGAGAGAGAAATTCTGAGAGCTCCAAAATGGGCTTTAAATCTTTGCTGTGAGACAAACCCTCAGCCCACTAGAGCCTTATGCCTGACATACAGAGCTGCCTAAAGATTGCACAAAGGCGTTGCTCCCAAAAGGGAACCCACACAGAATCCCACAGGCATCCAACCCTGGAGCAGCCTTGGCTGGGCACCACTTTGACAGCCCACCTACTAGGGGGTCTCAAGACAAGGCTGCAGCTGCTGCACTCCTCCAAGAGGGCAGGAAGAGAACAAGTGCCCTCATACATCCCTCGGAGGGTCCCTGCCATGCTGTTCCAGACTGCTGTTGAGACTGAGATGTGAGCAGATCACACTCCCCACAGCTTCTTGCCCATGCTGCTTGTCTGGGAGGGACTTGCCCTTTCTGGTTACATACCCAAGGCAAAATTTTGAGACTTTAATGCTGAATGGTGCCCTAACCTCAATTAGAGATTGGGGTGACAAGGCTGCAGCTGTCACATAGCCAAGGACTGACAGGGAAACCAGGCTATGCTATACATTTCTAGGGCAATACCTACAATCATGCGACAGGCTGCCATGAGACTAAGATGCAACCAGACCACACTCCCCACAGCTTCTTGGCCATGCTGCTTGCCTGAGAGGGACCCCACCTTCTCTGGTGCCAGGCCCAAGTTGCCATTATGAGAGTTTAACACTGGCTGCACTGTGCCCTCATGATGAGTTCCACTTAACATTGCCACAGCCATTGCTTGGTCAAGGAAGGACAGGGAAGCCACATTCTTTTAAGCATACCTAGGACAATATTTACCTCTGTGCTGTAGGCTGCTATGAGACCAACACTTGGGTGGATTGCACTCCCCCCAGTTTCTTGCCACAGCTTCTTGATCATGCTGTGCACCTGAGGGACCTCACCCATTCTGATTACAAAACCTACAGCTGTCACCATTTTGAGAGTTTAACACTGGGCTATGCCCCACTCTTGGACCAGGTTTGATATGAAGCAACAGCAGCCACTACCCTGGGGTAATGGAAGGACAGAGGAGACCATGCTCTCCTAAGCACACTTAGAACAATACCCACCACCTTACTATGGGCAGCTGTGGGACTTAGGATTAGCCCACTAATTCATTGCAGGTTCTAACAACACCAACCCAGACTGCTTGGGTCCCAATGCATTGTTCTACCACTGCTACAGCCATCACCCACCCTCACCACACCAGCTGTCCAGGGGCCTAAGAACCCACTCACACATAGGGTACACCATCCACATTATAAGTTCCCAAGCAAGTCACCTCAAGGGTCAAGAATTAGCCCTCTAGGACCCACTAACATGGGAGGCAGTATAAGCTGCTCTGGGCCTAGAAACAGGCATACTTGCACCACTACTGCCACCACTAGGGCCCAAAGAATGGCTCACTTGGCATTTAAGTCCCCAGCTAAATTTCACCTCAACCTGAACTAATAACCATATTCGAAACCACCAAGGAAATCACAGAGACCACTGATCACTGCCAAAGAAGTCACACAAAGATCATACTACTGCAACTACCCAAAATCAAAGCCAAAGTGTCTTACTCAACAACTGATATACATACTCAGGAAAAAAAAATTATGCCATACTAAAGCAATTTGGAAAAAAAAAATTGGAACAAGTGACAGCTATACCAGATGCACAAATATCAACAGAAGGACACAGAAACATGACAAATAAAGGAAATATGACACCATCAAAGGACCAAAACTATTGTCCAGAAACATATTCCAGTCAAAAAGTATTCCTCAAAATGCCAGGCAAAAAATTCATAATATTGATTTTAAAGAATTTCAGTGAGATTCAAGAGAAATTTGAAAAACAATACAAAGAAATTAGAAAAATCAATCCAGGATATAAATGAGAAACTTACCAAGGAGACAGATATCTTAGAGTCTTAGAGAAAAGAAAAAAAATTCTGAAAGTAAAAAAATTCATTGAGGGAAATATAAAATACCATTGACAGCTTTAACAATATACTAGACTAAGTAAAAGAAACAATCTCATAACTCGCAGACAGTTCTTTTGAAATAATCCAGCCAGACAAAAATAAGAAAAAATAAGTTTTTAAAAATGAACAAATCCTGTGAGACATCTAAGAATACATAAAGTGCCCAAATTTACAAATTATTGGTAATCCCACAGAGAAAGAAAGGGATCAAAGAGTTTAGAATATATATCTAAGAAAATAATCAATGAAAATTTCCCATCTATCAGAAGAGTTAGACATCAAGATAGAGGAGGCAAACATCAACTTTCAGACAAACACATTGTAAAAAGGTCCTCACCACAACATATTGTGTGCAGAATCTCTGAAGCCAAAGTGAAAGAAAGAATTTGAAAATTAGCAAGAGAAAAGCATCTAGTCACCTACAAAGAAAACCCTGTTAGACTAACAGGAAAGTTTTCAGCAGAAACTCCGCGGGCTCAAAGAGAATAAGACAGCACTTTTAAAGTGCTAAAAGAAAAAAAATTATCAGCCAAGAATTTTGTATACTGCCAGAATAAACTACATAACAATGGAGAAATAAAGTCCTTACCAGACAAGAAAATGTTGAGGGATTTTGTCACCAGAAAACTTGTTCTATGGGAAATGCCCAAAGGAGTCTTATACTTAAAAATGAAAGGTCAACATTTGCCATTAAAAAAGCTACATGAAAACATAAAACCCACAATCCATATAAAACAATCACACAACGAGGACAAGAAAGAAATGAAATGGGAACATGACAGAATTTTCATCAAATCACAAAAACAAAAAGTGAAAAAGATGGAAACGAATAATTTATGAAACAACTTGAAAGCAATCAATCTGATAGGAACAAAGCCTCATGTATCAATATTAGCCTTGAAGGTTAATGTATTAAATGCCTCACTTAAAAAATACATATTGGCAGAACGAATAAAAACATGAATCAATTATATGTGCTTCAAGAAACTCACCTTA